ATTAAGAAAAGTCTTCTCCATCTCTTCCTAAGTGGTAATACTCCTGGCAGGTGAAGAGTATAACCACTCTTCATCATCTTTAGAAAGAGTGAAATGAAACATTCTCAATTTTTTAGCTTCTTCAGAATACCCCCCAATCTTCAACGTCGTGCTCATAGTGAGAAATCTCTATAAGTGCTTATTTGCATCTTCTTTTATCTTTCCAATGAAAGGTCTCTTTTCGAGTTGACAGATAGTTGTTGGGTGCATCTGAAAGTTAGCAATGTCAACCGGTTGATTTAATATGGTTAACCGCCCTGCTGGAGCATTTGCTTCTCTATAGTCACCCAGAAGTCTCTCTGCTGGTGGAATTTCAGCCATAACAATAGTCGTTGGATGTGTCTTTGTATCTGAATCAAAATGATGAGAATGAACCGAAACTTCTTCTTCTTTTTCTTGCTCTGAAATTATCGGTTCTCCTTCTGATGCTGCCAGTCTTTCTTGTTTAGCATGACGGAGTCTAGCGTGCAACGATCTTTCTGGTTCTACGTCAAAAAGAAATTCAGTTGAGGGCTTTCCTCGCATACATAGATTAGACAAATATTAGTAATAATAGACAAATATAAAAATAACAGAAAATAAAATTTTAGTCGTATAGCAACAAAATTTCAATTGAACTAAAATTAAAACTTATATTTTAGCAGTCCCCGACAACAGCGCCAAAAACTTGATCGGAAAAATAACAAGTGTACTATTTTCGCGGATTGTAGTTAAAATAGGGGTTTATCCTCAGCATCGATCTCGAGGGCTGCGTATGAATATAAGTTCTAGTTATAATTCAATTAAACAAAAAGCACTTGGAGATTTATGATTATTTGGTGAGGTTATAAACTAACAGTAATAAAATAGAGCAAAATAATAAAATTGAGTTTTTAACAGATATGAGAAGCATGTTAGGGCACAGTGTATGAATTGCCTTGCAACAACCTTAATCCTTATTTACGAGATATGGCTTAAAACAAACCTTTACTGAATCTCAAGTGTATTTTTATTTAATGCCTTAGAAAGAAAAACCTTTGATATTCATCTTAAACCTTAAGTCCTTAGAGATTTAGAATGAAATCAAGCATTATATTTTATCAAGAATGTTACGGTTACTACAGGGTATCCCTAGTCCTAGGTGATATCTACAATAGTATTCTTGCACAAAAAGCGTTAACAATGGTTTGTCCGACCTAAAAGTTAACCATAAATCAATTTCTATTTGTCCGGTAGAAAAAGCATTAATCACATTGTACAATAAAAATGATTATGAAAAAGCACTTATGTCATTGAACAAAGGAAATCAAAATCATTACAAAAGAAATTCAGGGACACCCCCTAACATTATTGGGGATTTAGCTACTCATAATATACAAAGAAAATTTAACAATTAAATTAACCATTACAAGAATTTTGAATTACTTTGATCTTCAATTGCTCCCGCGCATGAAAATCTTCAGCTCTCCCTTTTCTCTTGATCGCTCAATTCTTGATCGTGATTTTGCTCTGCAGTCAAAAAGTTCTCTTCTCTTTTCCTCAAACTCTTCTAAATAGCAAAAACTCAAATAACGGTAGGTGGAAATCCCAAAAATACCCTTTAGGTCAACACTCAGTGAAAGGTCAAGAAAACGGGGAAATTAGCATCCAAGCCAACACGGGTGGCCGTGTTGGCTCCCTGTATTCTATAAATAAATTTCTCAGTGCCAGAACTGCTGACACGGGTGCCCGTGTCAGCCCACTATTTTTTCACACTATTCATCATTTTGTCAACATCCTGACACGGGTCGTGTAAGGGGACACAGGTGGTCGTGTCAGACCCTCTGCCTCTTGCCAATTTCATTCCCAAAAACACTGGATTGTCCACTTTCTCGCTCTAATTCTTCCTGAATGCTTACCTAAACCTAAAAACATTGGAAATACACAACCAAAGCATAAAATGCGATAAACGGAAATAAAATGCAAGTAAACATATAAGAAGATTAACTAAAACTAACGGTAAAATAACGCATAAAAACCACTGATCACCGCTTCCACCGAAGATTCCATTCAATTGACGAGATGTTGGTTTTTATGCATAAATATATCGATTGTATTATCAATGTTACGGGAGACGGTAATTACGGTTACCGAGTCATTTCGGCTTTACTTGGTAAGGGAGAAGATAGTCATGCGCTTGTCCGTCATCAACTTATCCAAGAGTTGAAGACGCATAAGGAATCATACATACGGTTGTACGGATAAAAAGAAAATTTCGATGTGGTTTATAAGTCACTTGTTTCTTACTTGAGCGGTTCAGCACCGGAGTCAAAATGGATGAGCTTCCCATATATGGGTCATCTAATTGCATCTGCATATGATAGGGCGTGTATTGACCTGACACGCTACGGGTTTTCGGAAACCTTTTTTCCACTACGCACCACACCACCCCAAAATCCAAATTATCGCATCATGTGTATTGGATGGTTTTCAAAATCAAGTCATTTTGTTCAAGTTTACTTAAAACCGGAATGCCAAATACCACCTACATCACCGAAATGGACGACTAACTCAACCGCAAATGTCGAGACGTTGCCGAATCATTTTACAAAAAGGATGCAAGAATTCAATAGATTGAACAACATTGAAAAAGAATCGAATTCACAAATGTCAAAGGAGGTACCACCTATAGATTTATCCGGCAACACATGTTTTGATTCGTTTTGACTTTTTTGTAATCGGACAAATAATTGTATATAAGTGTGTCGCAATATAAATGAAGTGTTACATATTCAATTATTATTCATATTGGGTATTTATGCATGTTTGGTTCATATTTTGTGCATTATTTGGTCTTTCTCAACTCTCTGTCTTAAGATTCTGTTTTGAAAATGTATCAGAAAAAGTTTCAAAGATGTATCTCCTGAAGGTTCTTTTATTTGCTTTGTTTTTGAATGGTTCAGGAAAAGCTTCGGAGATGCATCTCCGGAACAAGATAATGAGTTGTCGTTTCGGAGACATATATCTGGCGTGTGAATGAAAATCAATGAGTGGTCCTTATTGAACTATGTCTCCTATAAATTTGGGTGTTTTGTGTTATACTTCAGAGAAACTCAAAATGTCTCAAACGTGTGAAATAAACATTTGTTGGTATGTCTCAAATGTCTCCTACTTCGGCGCCTCTACACCCAAGAGGACGTTCAAGCTCACTGATCTCACCCCCCTCGACAATATCATAGACGAAATTCATTATCTCCTACCTTACGAAGACACACGAAGGGTTGTCAAACTTGAGTACCGTTCACCCTCGGTTGACAATGAAGGGAACATTGTGTTTAGCAAATTTGAGCTCAAGACTTGAGCGGATGTTATGGCGATGTGGCGAACGTTCTTTCAGTTTCAAAGAAAAAGTTTCGCTCGAGTTGGAAGCGACACTACGAAGATCGGTCGACGATATCTTAGAGATGTGCAAGCGTCCACTAAAATATTAAAATGTAGTATTTAATTTTGTTGAAATCATCATTGTAATGCTCATTTTATATTATAATGCTCATTTTATGTTTGGAAAATTCAACTTGTGTTGATTTACGACTCTGGTTTTGTTCCGAAAATATAATTACAATATGGTTTCGGAGATATCTTCAAAAAATACAAGGACGCCATCGAGAATGACCTTCTTTAAATGTGAAAAGAGTGAATTTGAGAATATATCTCTGAAAATTAAAAACAGTATAAAAAATTTGCATGATATTTAAAAAAACACCTAGGATGTAATAAAAAATTCTCATCATATAAACAATCATTTTTAATCAATTTTAAAAAGTCCAAACTTCAACAATTAATCAGAATAGACAGAAAAGGATATTGCCAAAAGAAAAAAAGGTAATGGAAAATAATTCAAATGAGAAATATTCTTGGACAAAAGAAATCCTCATTGTAAGTAGCATTTGCTAACAATTTGGTAACCTTTGATTGAATTGTCCGTGTTCAAAGTCAGTTAAAAGCATAAATAACCATTTTATATATATATATATATATATATATATATATATATATATATATATATATATATATATATATATATATATATATATATATATATATATATATATATATATATATATATATATATATATATATATATATATATATATATATATATATATATATATATATATATATATATATATATTATGAAATGATACATAGTGCAATACAGTCAAAACAAAATATTCTAGATCTATATTCGAATTGAAATAAAAAAACAAATATGAAATCATACCTAGAAAACGAGTTAAAACCCATTAATGGACTATCTCCCCTCGCTTGTTCCTTCTCATTTTTCTAGGACAAACAAGCTAGTTAGAAATCCTTTATTTTTTGGACCAATCGCTCTTTTGATTTTGGAAAAAAATCAGATATTTATCAATATACTCTTTCTTCTACACATTTATTGCTACCCCATAAAATAATGGGGAATAGCTAATAATTAGGACTCATAACAAAAAATCGTTAATCCATCATTCGTAGGAAAAACTTTTTCCACAACAAGCACTAATTCTTTTTTAACGTATAATTAGATGTGGTAATCATTCAAATCAAAAATGAAAGCTCGTTGCTTTTTGTTTCCCTATAATTGGAGCAGCTAAGCTCTATCCCTTTATTAATTAAACCCAACGGAATTCATTTGTTCGAAGCCAACAATTCAAAGAAAAAAAAAAAATATATATATATATATATATATATATATATATATATATATATATATATATATATATATATATATATATATATATATCATTTTAGACTTATTCTGAAGAGTATTTAAAAACAAGAATATGTATTTTAAAATTCAACCTGTATACGAGTCTAAACAAAAAATCAAGCTATAAACTGCTCCGAAAAAAATAAACAACCGGCAAAAGCAAGAACACCTAATGTAAAGCCTCCCCATTATTATTTATTACTAGGGGCTCCCAAGCTTTGTATTGTACTCAAATATTTCAATCAGTTCTTTCTCTTGCCTTTCTATATGATACACCAGAATTTATATAACTAAAATGGTTGGATCCTGCTCTCTCAAAAGAATCACTCTCCCTAAAACTACTACTACTACTCCTACTTGTATCTAACTTCCTATGCTCTATACTTAAATTATGATGCAAATGAGAAACACATCCCTCGCTAACTGGTCTTCTCCTATACAAAACACCGTCCATCTCGCCCCTTGAACATGTGGAGGTAGTTACACCCCCGCCTCGTCCTGAGTTACCAAAAATATAATCCGCAAATTCGTCGGTACCTGTTGAATCACTCGTGCTATCGGTGCTGCAAGAACATTCATCAGAGTTGTTGCTGAGGAGAGATGAATTATCACTTGACGAGTCTTCTTCCATGATACTTTTCATGCGATGAAACTTCGAATGGATAGTTTCTAACGCAATTTGATCATATGGAGACTGGATTAGTCATGCTTTCAACAGAATCAGAATATGAAGATGAATGTTTGTGTTTCGTTGTGACAGCTTTTCCATGGACTTTGCCTCTTGAATCTGAGGACACTATCATGTCTCTGATTAATCTTGGGGCCCTAGGTGAACACCTGCAAGGTGATTCTAGTTAGAAGATGTACACTAAAAAAATTAAAAACACGTTCAGGATATATAGAGAAAACAAGATATTAGTTACTACTTACTACAATGAAAAATTAAGGTATAACACAGTTTGGGTTACCTTGCATACAAAAGCATGTAAGCGCCTTTTGTTAAGACTGTTTGCAATTCAACAGGCGTCACCTGTAGGACAAATAGGAGAGATGGTTAAATGAATTCAAGGTAACAGCTTCAGTGGAAATATCATCAGATAAAACAAAATTATTGTCATTTAATTAATTGAGAAACACTGGCTTTATATGAAAAAAACCATAATCACATGTGGGTCCAACATTAGTATTCTGTGTATACAATTGAGCCTTTATCTCATAATTTCTCATACACAAAATCAACGAAAAAAGGAAACCCAGTGAAAACCAGCGGTTTGGCCAATTTAACTTGTTGGACTGTATTTTGGTATTTAAAATAAATAAAAAGAGACTAATACAGCATCATTCTGGTGTCTCAGATGAAATGACATTCAGTAATACAACACCACGCAGGCATTTTCTAATTGATGTCCATCCATTTTCTACCAAGGTTTTCGATGTGAACCTACTGAATTTTGTTTTTACTGATGGTAAACAGAGATATGGCGCTATTGTAGATGGAGATGTGAAGAGAAGAATGCCAAATTGTTAATTTACCATCCACCTCATCAACATATCCACCAACACGGCCCCATTATTCTTCTGTTCACACTCAAAACTATTACCACAACCCCAACAACTTCCATCAACAACTTTTAAAATCTAAACCATAAAATTTGTAGGTTTATTCTTCACAATAATAGTTAAGATCACTAAAAAAAGTACTACTCTGTTTTGTTATATAAGACTAAAAAAAAGTGCAAGATTTAAAAAAAATAATAAGTCACAAAGATAAACATGAACTTTTTGTTATTATTTCTTAATATACTGCATGAAAATTTTAAAATAAACATAATTATTATTAGAGTAATGTTAACTTGTGCCCTAAGGGCACATGTTAAGCAATTCATAAATAGAAAATTTGTATTGGAAAAAGTAATAAAAGAATTAATTATAAATTTTTAATAAAAATAATACACAAGTTCCAAGAAAACATTTCTACATTTAGTTCTTAACATGTGCCCCTAGGGCACAAGTTAACATTATCCTTATTATTATTACCGGTTCGACCCCGACCAGACCTTTAAACCTAGAACCAAGTAAGCTACACCAGTTCAATGTCAGTTTCGACTCTAAGTATTTTGCTAAAAACTAGGTCGTAAAGTAGGAAGTCCCTTCACTTAATAAGAGCACTATACTTTTGGGCATATGGCTCTAAGTATTTTGCTAAAAACTAGCGCGTAAAGTAGGAAGTCCCTCCACTTAAAAAGAGCAATATACTTTTGGGCATATGGCTCTAAGTATTTTGCTAAAAACTAGCGCGTAAAGTAGGAAGTCCCTCCACTTAAAAAAAGCAATATACTTTTGGTCATATGCCTATATGTCAAGTCAATGTGGGAGTAAACATAAGCCCCTACACCCACCAGCACATTAAAGATGCTGGAGGCTACGCTGAAAGCAATCCTACAGATTTAATGATCATAAAATCAGGTTGTATTGGATAACTGTATATTAAAATTTCAACTTATAAGCTTGTTAAGACGGACCACTAATTAAAGAAAGCATTAATTCACAAAAATACACCAACCAAAATATTTATATGCAAATAAATGGAACCGGACACATACCACACTGTCATCAACCTTGAACCAACTGTTTTGGAAATTCTTCACATAGGACACGTAGTGACCTGAAAAAGCAGCATTCATGGTATCCAAGTGTACAACGACTCCGTACAGCCGGTATATGGCCAAATCACTAGACCCACTCATGAAAGGTGCCAAATCAAGTATTTCAGGAAACCGAATTGGCTTATTGAGCTTCCCATATTTTCCAGACTGCAACACATGTAAATGAGTATTGAATATGCATACAATCTATGAGGTAAAATAGTTTCCTTGCATTTAACATATATACCCGAAATCTCTTTAATGCAATTGTAAGAACATTAGGTGCCTCTGAAACTGCCATTTGCTTTTTGGCCTTCTCATAAGATTTACATCTGTTTAACATGAAAGCAAAGATTATCAGTAATAAGGAAACTCCTTCGATAACCAAAAATAAATAAAAGACAAATTTTGAACAACTATGCAAAAGGTTTCAACAATAAACACATCAAAAATCACAAAAAGAAAGCATGTGGAAGACAACAATCATTGAACAAGAATGCAGGGGGAAAGAAACAATTTAATCAAAGCATGAGTGTTAAGTTTCACCTTTCAATTAAATTACTATCCAAATATACGGCATATGATTTTAGTCCTCGCAGAAAATTAGGTCATGAACAAGCATTTTAAACCTCGTTTAAGATTTTGATACATGCCATACAATAAAAGTAAGCCATGAACAAGCATTTTAAACCTTAAAAAGATATTTTTTATAGAATAATATTTTTCAGAAGTTTGTTATATCTATATTTACTATACATAAGATAAACTCCTGTTTCAATTCAAATATTTTAAAAATATTTGTCTAAATTCTTGGTCTAAATTCTTCTTTTCAAAAGAAGTCAAAAATAAGTCAAGCCAAACCGAGCTCAAATTTCCAAACATCAATGAATCAAGTCCATCATCATCCCTGGTCCATTTAAAATTTCAAAACTAGATTCCTTCTATTTTTTGGGACCAGATATGGACAGCACTAAACATCTGTTTTGATAGCCAGACTTTATGTTGGCCTGGTGAAAAGCTAATAGAGAGACGTAAATATCCCACTAAAATCTAAAACGGTAAGAACCTAATATATTCGTTCAGCCTTATATAGCCATTCAAAGCACGAGTAAGATATGACAATATCGAAAATTTCTGAAAAGGGTTCTACCTGGCACAATGGTACTTGTTTTCTCCATCCAGAGTCTCGGTGCTTGTAAACTGTCGAAGTGCCTCCTCCAGGGATGCTATCTCCCCTTCTATCTCAACAGTCAAATCCATCATCCTTTCCTGACGCTCAGATTTCCCTCCACATTTCATGCATTTAATCTGCCAACATAACATCAGTATTATTTCATTGATCGTCTTGCTTAGATCAGTGAATGCTAGTTTACAGCAATAATAGCATTATCTATTTGGAGATGTACAAAAACATAACAGGTGGATGCATTAAACGTATTATTATTTCGAATAAGGAGACAAAAAAAGATTACCTTTGATCGTAGGTAGCCTCCAAACGTAAGACCAACTAAATTAGTTTGCTCTTTCAATGCGTCTGATGCATCCACCTCACATTCCATAACGCAGACAGATTGCATTGTTTCAACCACATGCCTGTACATAGTCATTCACTAACGTAAGATAACAAGAATTCTAAAATATCAATTTACAGTGATTAAAAGATGTAAACCGCACCTTAGAAATTCATGTGCATCTTCTTCTTTGCCACTACCAAATTGACTTCCAATATTCTGTAGTTGAGAGAGTATGCCCATAGGCGAGAGAGGAGATTTTGTGTCTTTTGATTTCAAAATCAAACTTTCAAACTCACAAGTGAAACACCATTTTTTATTCACACCTGAAATTGTCATGAGAAATTAACATAGGGAACAGTTACACAAATAGTAATCATGTTTGTTAAGTGCTGATTTAAATATTAAACTGTGATTGCATACATACATGATTTAGAATGAAGTCCTTGAAGCAAATATGCAGTCAGGGGTGGCGTAAGTACCAAACACTGGAGTACAGCATTTGCGAAACAGCTGCAAAATGGTAGCAAAATTATGAAAATGAAAAAGTAAATCCTAAAAATATTAAAATATGTGCACGTGGACATGTGTGTATAGATAACACAACAATTATCTATTTCTCATGAACTGCTTATTTCAAATTACCTGTTTCCACAATTTGTAAGACCAAATGGTTGGAAATCCAGTCTGTTCCAGTTATAAAGCTTGACAAACAGATCATATGAAAATAGACCCTGCAGCAAAAGTTAATGGACCGTATAAGAAAAACATTTCCTTAAAGCTCCAAAAACATAAAAGATTGGTTCAAAAATAACCTTGTCACCGTATTTTCTAGCAACATCACTCCCAACATCTATTGGAAAATGCTTAGTCAAATCCGATTCTCTAAACTGATCAATGACTTTCATATCAAATGTTTTAAGGCCATCCTTGGAACTTGGAATTTGGGTAACATTGTTCATACATTTTGAACTGGAATGTAAATGCTCATCTTCAGCTCTAGAAACTAACCTCGTTTCAGCAGATCTCAAGCTACTTCTGGGGTTAATCACAACATGCTTCGATACATTAGATCCAACAGTGTGCAAGTTATGGATGCTTGAGGCATCTACACGATGTGAAGAATCAAGATCTTCATTCTCGGAAGATGGGGATCCTTCATTTTGCATATTCTTTCCAACACTAGAGTGAGATGGAAGAGGGCCACCAAAAGAATCATCTTTTGTCCCTTTTAAATCAAGAGTGCAATTCCAAAATCCAGGAGACACTATAGAAGGCTCCGATGTTCCCCCTTTCTGCACCATCAGACCAGAACTAACATTTGAAGCGAGATTTCTCTCCTCTTTACCAAAACCAGGTCCGGCAGAATCAACCAAATGAGCAAACTTAGGTGACAATGGGATTGTTGCGCCAATGAAATTACCATTTGATGTGTTGCCAGAGATGTCAAAAGTGTGGTCAGTACAAATATGTCCCTCAGATCGCTC